CAGCGCTCTTCCTCGCATTCTGCGCCGCGGCAGACATCTGGTCCTCGCTGCACTTGCAGGGGGGGTTGCCTGTCTTGTCCACGCGCGCCTCGCACTTAACGCGAAAGAGCCCCTCCCCCTGCGCAGCCTGTTTATGCTCGCGGGGACATTTGTCGGAAACGAATGACAGGCTCCACGGCTTCATGAATGGCATGAGCCACTCTTCTTGGAGTTAATGATCGCCGTCCTTGCCGCCGCCTGTGGGCCGATCGGAGGGGCGCCTTTGGCTCCTGCCGCGATCGCCCTCCTGGCCCTTTCTCCCACCGCCTTTTATATTGATCTTTCTTCTTCTTTCTACCGCCCTCGCCGCCACCCTTGCCCGACCTGGCAAGCGCGGCGCGCGCGGGAGCGGCGGGGCGCCCACTTCCCTTCGGGCGCCAGCGCTGACGCCGCGCCCGAGTGCACGGGCATTTGCCCTGAAGGAACTCGTTGCGTGGAACTGATTTCTTAAGGCGGCCGTCTTTCATGCGTAGATTACGTCCGCCCATGCTGGAGCGTTCTCCTCCTCTTTCGCCCCTCTCGCCCATTCCCCCTCCTCGTCCGACCGCGGGGGTCGAGCATTTTCCGCTGGTTGTCACGATTGATATGCAATCTTCCTTTGCGCATGATGTCACTGGCCCTCGAAAGCAAACGTCCGTGCGTCTCCGCGCCAGTGCCGCGATCATCGTTGCACTGGCCATCGAGCACAGGGGTGAAATGCACGCGCGGGCACCTTTGCGTTGGGCGGTAGAAGCTCAGACTGGTCAGCATTCACCTCCTTGCCCGCGCAACGGTTCTCAATCTCAATGAGATCTGCGCACGCGCACACCTTGCCATGATCCTGGCGGGCGGTCGCATGCACGGCGATGATGCGCAACATTCCACGACCTTTCATTGTGTTTCTGACGGTCTGCGAGGGGATGCCCGGTCTTTTGATCTCACTCGCAAGATGACGTAACTGCGATGATGACTGCTGGTATTTAAGTATATAGTTGGCCTTCGACCAAAAGTCAGCTGCGATCGTCAGGTCGAGCCGGGCGAAATGGCCGGGCCCCCTCAACTCCTTCGCATCTGCGATTTCAAAATCAACTGACAGCCCCCTCACAATTCGGCGAGGCCGACGCCGCCGGCCTGACGACATTGCGACGCCACCGCTGATTGTTGGCAACGTCGGGGATCGCTTCCAAGACTATATGATCCATCTTGCCTGCGTCGTTCCACTATTGCGTAGTGGCAGGGACAACATCCATCAACGGGAATGGGGTTCCATCGCCGCCGACGACGCCTGCTGGCAGATCGCCTCCAGGCCGTCCTCCGCCACGCCGGCGCAGGCGATCTGGATTGCCATCTTCTTTTCCGTCGGGCGCTGGGCGCCCGTCGTCATCGAGGTAGAAGTCGCCATCGCCCTCGCCGTCGCCATCATCATCTCCATCATCGTCTCAACCGTCATCACCAGGAAAGCCTGAGCCCGGATGTTCCGGCACAGGTGCCTTCCTTGGGGCGGTCGCTTCATTCCCCTTATCTTTCTGCTTGGAGATGCCCGGCGAACTCCCCGGTGCTGGGGGCGCGCGCCCTGGGAAAGAGGTCGCAATGCTGGCGCGAGCTGTTCCCGAGTTGGCATTCGAACCTGTCAGTGCTCGGACCTCGCGTGCAACTCCTTGCCCCCTGTCCTGGGCCCGCTGCGCCAGGGCGGCAGCCGCCTCGGCCCTTTCCTCGCGCGTCTCTTGGATTTCTGTCCTACGCTCAGCGCGCATCGCGGCGTTTGCTCTTCACGCGGCGTGGCCTGTTCGAGCTTGTCCGCGAGTCTCTCATATTCGGCCCTCGCGTCTTCTTCATGCTCAAATGACCTCTTCGACCCAGCGCCCTCGGCCCGGCGACCATCGCCACCCGGGGCAGAGTCTGGGGCGCGCGAAGGCCGGAGCAATCGATCGCGAGAGACCGCCCTCGGCATAGACGCAGCGACGCTATGTTCCTGAGGTTTCCTTCTTGCCTGACGTTCCCCACTTCCTTCTTCGCGAAGCCTTCCCTGAGCTTCAACTGCTGAGCCCTACCCGTAGCGGCGCGCGCGCATCTCGCCATCCAGCGCAGACCGGTCGTCTCAAACGCTTGCGTTGCAGGATGGGGCAATCGCGAGCAGCCACTTGCGAGCGCAGATCGCGCCGCAGAGCTCCCGCAAGGGGGTTTCTGGCCAGAGTTCCAGCATGCGGCTGGTCGCCCGAGCGCGGTCGGTGCCGACGCAAGCGCTGTAGACGCCGCCGCCGCACCCCCTTGGGCCATCGACCCGGCGCCTGAAGACGTTGCCGAAGATGCTCATATCGGGTTCCACTTTATCTGGCGCTGATCGAGCCTGCGACGCAAACTGCCCCTCTCGGCCCCCCGACACTTCGCCGCCCGGGCGGCTTCCAATTCTGCCGCGCGAGAACTCGCTTCAACTTTCTCCTCGGCGGCCAACTCGACTCGTCGCATCTCCTCGCGGGCGCGCTGCATCTCGGCCTCGGAGCGAGCGCAGCTCCCAGCCGCGACGATTCGGTTCATCCCGGCCTGCTTAATTGCAGCGGCAGCCTCTGCGGCTAGCCGCGCGCTCCGATTCTCTGCTGCTTGCAACTCCTTGGCAGCCTGCGACATGATCGTTCGCTGAGCTTCCGCGGCCCCCCGGACAGCGCCCCGCGCCTCATCTGCGAGGCGCTTCACTAGGAGATGTGCCTGGCGTTCGGAAGCAGCGGTTATCTCCAGCCTGTGGGCGAGCTCTCTCATTTCCGCTGTCGCGACAGAAGCCCGTCGAGCTGCCGCAGCCCGTCGACGCCCTTCCAATCGGCGCGCGGCGCTCGCCATGGCCCCCCAGCGTCGCTCCCGCTGAAGGGCGGCGACCGCTTGTCGCTGCGACTCCGAATGCCATAGTTGCCTGTGAATTTCAGCAAGATCCCCCCCCCCCCCCCTTCTCCACATTACCGAGCCTCGTAGTTTCCCCAGCTTCGCGCCGCGCGTTCGCGCGCAACCCAGCGCGGTCGCGCGAGCTTGGGGCGTCGCGCGCAGGGCATGGGAAGCTTGGGTTACGAAGGCCGCAGATGTCAGAGCACCCGAAACAGACTGGCTCACTGCGGTGGCCCGATAAGCCAGGGCGCCACGATTCTGGCATTACGACGCATTTCGTTCCGCAGTTGGCACGCCCGGCGTCGACTCGCGCGCTGCAGTCGCTCGACCTGCCCGACAAGTTGGACAGATCAAGCACCTCAGATCGCAGTCTCGGGGCCCCGGGCCCGCCCCCCTCGGCGCCCCTCTCGCGCGGGGGGCGGGCGCGCCCCAGACGTCGAGGCCGGCGCTCTCTGACTTGCCCGAGGAAGGCGCGGTGGGGGCCCAGGGGCATAGTTCCAGGCATCCCCCCCGGAGCGAACGCAGGGCTGTACCCCTGGACGTCGCCGGATCTACTTCGCTTCCCGAGTGGCGAGAGGTCGTTGAATTACTAACGGGCCCACGCCCCCGCTTGCTCGTCGCCCTCGCGAGGCCGCCCATCGAACTCCTCATTTACGAACTCCTCCAAATTCCGTTCCACAGAATCATCGGGTGGAACCGCGGCGCCCTCGCCCTGCGTGAGCGGCCCCCGCGCAGGGGTTGGAAATCGCCGGATGGAACAGGAGTCGCACGGTCATAGACCCCACCTCCCCCATTATGTGGCCGACGATCACCGCGAAAGCCGACGGGCCTGGGCGCCGACCTGCGAGAGAATTTTTTCTCCGACGAAATCGACGCCGCGCGGTCGCCGTCCGAGAGGTGCATGGAGACATCGGGTTTGTCATCAAGTGGCACGTGGCCCTCTTCATCATCTCCGTCTCGGTCGGGTCGCGTGGCGCCCTTGATCTTCGGAATGCTACGACGAGGCTCGTCATCGAATGAAGAGGTCCCAGCAGATCTTGGAAGGGAGAACGTGGGTCATATTTTCCGACATAGCTGGCAGAATCTTGATCAGGAACATACACGTTCATACCATGCGCACATCAACTTTGGGTGGTTGGAACATCGTTCCCTGGTATGACCGAACCACTTTGGTCGAATATGGAACTTTCGGTTTATAGCCCGTAGTTTGCCAACCCATTGATGGCATGGTCTCATCGTCCGGTATTTGATATCCTTCACCTTCTTCCTGTAGTAGTCTCTTGCTCACACATATCTTCAATGTCGGTGATGTATCCATGAATTCCATGGCTATATGAATACGATGGTGTCCTTTTTCAGCTTGGGCTAGCAACGAAATATAAAACGGGGCCGGCCGGCCGGGGGAGGGCGCCCAGGAGGGCGCGCGCGCCGGGCGGACGGGCCGCAATCTTTTCCTTGAACCAACCCAACAGCTGCGACGAAGATGTGGGTCAGAAGTGGGCACGGGGGGGTGACTAAACAAACTTCCTCTCAGGGCCCCAGGGCGCACTTCGGGCAATAAACATGCACGATTGTGTTATTTGTTATGACCGCGTCTGCGGGTGAGCCTGTGTATTGTTGGGAAGGGCTGTGTACTCGTGTCTATTACACAAACCTACCTCACATGGGCGGACGCCGCAGAGGAGACAAATCTGATCATCTGTAATGTACACAGCAGGGCTGGTTTTTCCGAGGAGGCTTTCCTGAATAAACAGTTGGCGCCAAAAGGATACACCTTGGCCGAACGTGCTCCGTGAATTCCGAACAGGCATGGGCATGTCGCTGGAACAATGTACTTCGTGCCCAGCAGCAGCTGGCAACGGGCCGAACATACCTAGGACACGATTGGGCTGTGCAATGAACATGAATTATTTCAGGGACCAGCGTCGGGGTTTGGAGGGATGGTGCATTGCAACATTGTTGGTGCGTTTGGGATGTACACCGATCGTCCTCCACCCTCCTGCCCCTCCCTCCTCCTCCCACCGCACCCCTCGTTTCGTGTTCCCGCCTCGTTCCCGGGCGTTCGAGTGGCCGCGCGGCCGCTTGGGCAACGACCCCCGGAACGGAGGCGCGGGGGTCCTGGACCGTGCAGCCCGACAGCGGCGCCCAGGCGCGCCGCACGGCCTGGTCAGCGGTCGGGGAGGGGCAGGGTCGAGGAGAGAGGGAGGGGGACGGGGGAAGAGTGGGAGGGGCGGAGGGAGCCCTCCTCCTCGTTCCCCCTCCCACGCATTGCCAACCCGTCTCTACCACCCCATTAGTCGCCTCCTCATCCGCCTCCTCCTCCTCCTCCTCCTCCCCCTCCTTTTCCTCCTCCTCTGCCACATCGTATTCCTACTCTACCTGTTCTTGCCCCCTCCTCCACATCCTGCTCCTCCGCATCCTCATCCTCATATGTTTCCTTTTCGTCCCCCCATTTACCTCCTCGTCTGGCGTTGGCGCACGGCCCTGCCGCGCCGCCTGGCCGGCGGGCCGCGCGCCCAAGAAGTAGAACGGGGCGGTGCATAACCGCAAGAAGCACCTGCTGGGAGGCTCCTCCCTCCTCATCCTTCCTCCTTTCATCCTTCCTCCTTTCATGTGATGTTGACCAAACATGAAGAACGAGCTTGTTGCGACGAAAAACGTAAAACAGCAAGGCACACAAGAGCAGACTAAGCGGAGCAGGCGGTGCGAAGAGGCACACAACAATAGAGAAACCCGAGAGGGCATAAAGCATTATAAATGCAGGCGTCACCAAGGTATTCCCCTCCCACCAGTCCCCAACATCGTCCTACATACCCCTGATCCTTCCCATGGCAAAGGCCCGCATCGAGGGCGGTCCCTGCCCTCCCTGAGGGCAGCGGAACCACGAAGCTAAGCATAAGGCTAGCACAGTTTGTACAGGCTGGCTTGCTTGGCGCAGCTGTGTGGCGCGAATGTACTGCTTATGTGCAGGCGCAGGCTGGCGTGGCAGAGTCAAACATCAGGTGATATCGTTCCCGCCCACTCCGATGAACTGATTACGTTCCACCTCCTACCCATCCGATCCCGCACGTGACTTGGGCCCTCACCGAAGGCAGTTCTCAGTTCCAGCCCTCATCGAGAGTAGCTGGGAATCCAAAGTTCGCGGGCTGAACTTGCGAGGCTGTCATGTGTGTATATGTATGTGTAAATGTTTATGTATATGTATATATATATATATATATATATAGATATAAACAAACATGTATTGTTATACGCACCTCTCCGAGGGAGTAGAGCTCAGAGGCGATTAATGCGTACGCGCCGCGTCGTTCGCGATTGTTCTGGTCGTTTCGCTCGGGACATCATCGAAATTCTAAAAATCGGTGGCACCCCTCACACAGATCGTGACGTCAGGGTCCAAAACACACATGGGAATTTCGACAGTTTAACATAAAACCGTCAACAACACATTGTAATTTCAATGAGTTTGACATTGATTCTCAGAGAAAGGCGGTTTCGCTTGAGACATCCTCGTAACATCGAGCCCCGACGTACCTTCTGGTACCCCAGACCCCGCCTCGGAGCCACCTGGAAACTTCCTGGAACCCCCTGGGACATCCTGTACCCTCTGGTACCCCAGACCCCGCCTCGGAGCCTCCTGGGGGTCTCCTGGGGCCTCCAGCGGCCTCCTGGAGCCTCCTGGGGCCTCCTGGAGCCTCCTGGGGTCTCCTGGGGCCTCCTGAGGCCGCCTGGGGCTTCCTGGGGCCTTCTGGGGCCTCAGAACTACATGCACACACAAAGACACAAATCACACCCAACACATCACACGCTAGACGAACATAACACACAACACCTACAACGCACAGAAAACACGCACAACACAGAGCCCACATCACACATACCCACACGACACTCGCAATCCTGGGGCCTCCTGGAGCCTCTTTCGGTATCCGAATCGGGCCTTCTGAGGTTTCCTGGGGGGCCCTGGTACACACATCGCAAGGTGTGGCAACCCCATGTTCGCCTGCGACATCTTCGCAACTCTGGGTTCCAATATGCTCTGAGCTCAAGTGATCAGGCCACTTTCGCCTGAGACATCAACTCTGAGTTCCGATATGCCCTGAGCTGAGGTGGTCAGGCCAGTTTCGCCTGAGACATCCTCGCAACGCTGACCTCGGAGAGGCATTGCCCTCGTCGATTCTCCTGTTCGATATTCAATCTTTTGGGGGGCTCTGATTCGATTGAATTATTATGCGTTCATATCCTGCCTATTCCCTTTCTCTTAGGCACGACTTGGCGGCGCCGCCCCAACTTCCCCTTTTTCCATATCCGATCCCGGCGTCATGGTGTATTCCTGCTTGAAACGCCTTTCTAGTTGTTTTGGTTTGCGCCTGGACACCCACGTCCCACTTGTATATATAATCGTAAACATATGTGTGTAAATATATATGCACACACCTACATACATACATACATACATACATACATACATACATACATACATACATGCGTACGTACATAGATAATACATACATACATACATACATACATACATATACACAAACGCACGCAGCACCCCGCAGATGCGGATAAACATGACGGGCGGTGGGGACGTCGGCAGTTTGCGTGACCCCGGACAAACCCGCCGCAACCGCCAAAAAACACATTTCTTACAACGAGCCCGCCGCAAGCGCAGATTTTTTCGTTAAGCCAACGAGGGTCGGTCGCGGGTGGATCGCGGGCGGTTCGCTGTTGGGTCGCGGGTGTAGAAGGCATGATATCCATCCCATAAGAACCACCATGACAATCGACGCCGTTTCATTCACGCACGCAAAGAACGAATCGAACCGTGCAAGTTTGTTTAATCAACGCCCAAGACCGTTTAGCAAAGGTCCGGGTGTTTGTTTGTTCCCTCCTTTGACAGCGGGTCGCGGGCCAGGACTCGGGCGGGTCGCGAGGCGGGTCGCGGGTTGGTCGCGGATGGGTCGCGGGCGTCGCGGGGTGTTCTCGCGGGCGGGTCGCGGGGGGGGTCGCGGGCGAGGGTCGCGGGCAGGTCGCGGGCGAGGGTCGCGGGCGAGGGTCGCGGGGGTGGGTCGCGGGTTGGGTCGCGGGCGGGTCGGGGGGAGGGTCGCGGGGCGGGTCGCGGGGCAGGTCGCGGGGCGCGTCGCGAGCGGGGCTACGACAACAAAGAACAACAACAACAACGACAACAACAACAATCATTTTACCATCGTGCGCCACGCTTCCACATGTCACATGCGTCCTTCTGGATACCACGCCCCATCTTTTTTTCCGGCGCGCGGTGCCCGATATTCCCTCGCCCAGATCTCCCGCCCGAGAAATCACTGCCACCCCCTCTCCCGATGAATTTCGGCATCCGCAGCTCGGACGGCACGTCGCCATCGCAATCGCCTCGCGCGCGCTCCGCATCTCGGAGGAAAGGAAAGAAGACGAGGAGGGGGGGAAGATGAGGGAGAGGAAGAGTGGGAGGAGGAGGAGGAGGAGGAGAGGAGGGAGGAGGAGGAGGAGGAGGAGGAGGAGGAGGAGGAGGAGGAGGAGGAGGAGGAGGAGGAGGAGGAGGAGGGAGGAGGAGGAGGAGGGAGGAGGAGGAGGAGGAGGAGGAGGAGGAGGAGGAGGAGGAGGAGGAGGAGGAGGAGGGAGGAGGAGGAGGGAGGAGGAGGGGGGTCAAGGATGAGCAATTGTAGTAGCAGCACCTCCGAGGACGAGGTGGTCCTTACTCCTCGTCCGAAGTGTTGCGCCACCATCCTGCGGCCTCGGCGCGTGACCCCGAACGTTCGCGCCCCCAGGCGCTGCCGCTCCCATGCTCGCATCCTCCACCTGCCCTTCCACACCCCCTCAGGGAATCCCCGAAGTCAATCCTTCGACCCTCGGTCCTTGGAGCCCCTGGAAAATCTCAAAGCTTTCCAAAAATGATAATGGTGTTATCATTGAGGATCATCAGGGGCCCTTGGAAGCCCCCCAGAACGATGCCGAAACGAGGGCCGCAGTCGTGAGTAAAAGGTGAGGAGATATCAAAAGAGAGCGACGAGGGAGGACGGAAGGGGAAGGGAGGAGGGAGGAGGGAGGAGGGAGGAGACAAAGGGGCCGAAAAGGGAAAGGAGGAGGGAGGAGGGGGGGGAAAGAGGGACGGGAAAGGGAGGAGGAAGGAGGGAAAAGGGGGGTGGAGGGAGGAAGAGGGATGAAGAGAGAAGGGGAAGGAGGGAGGAGGAGGAGGGAGGAGGAGGAAGGGGAGGAGGAGGAGGAGAAGGAGGAGGATGGAGGAGGAGGAGGAAGAGGAAGAGGAAGAGGAGGAGGAGGAGGAGGAGGAGGAGGAGGAGGAGGAGGAGGAGGAGGAGGAGGAGGGGGATCAAGGATGAGCAGTTGTAGTAGCAACACCCGAGGATCCCCGCCGCCTGGCCCTCTTGGGGCCCGCGCCACGGCCTCTTGAACCCTGCTCTGGGTGTCTTGGACACCTTTGGCGGTCTTCGTGGGCTCAAGCTCGAGGGTTCCTTGGGTCCCTTGTTGGAGCCTCCATGGGCTCCAACGCAGCGAACCCTTGGGGCCCCGCCACCTTGCCCATTTGGGACCCGCGTCGCGGCATCTTGAACTCTTTTGCAGGGTCTCTTGTAAGCGGGGGCCTCCTCGCTGACGATCTCCTGGACCGACGCCTGGACCTGTACGCGAAGGTGCATATCCCCCACCGTTGTTTTTGTTTGCTTCACTTGCATTGATCTCCCCACTGCTCTCTCCTCCTCCCTGCCCCAGACATCTGGCCGGGGCGGGGCGGGCCTCCTCCTCCTCCTCCTCCTCCTCCTCCTCCTCCTCCTCCTCCTCCTCCTCCTCCTCCTCCTCCTCCCCCGCGCCAGGCGACCCCTGCGGCCTGCGATGCCAGAGGCGTTTGCCTATTCGTGGGACGGTCCCCCTTCGGCCGGGAGGCCCCCCCCCCTCCCGGCCGTGCGACGCCCCCCCCCCCCGCGGCGGTGGCGGGCGTCGCGGTTACTGCCTTCCCCCAGTTCTCCCGACCACCGCCATCCTCTCTGGCACGCCCCGTGGCGGGTACAACTTTTTAAGCGGGTTCTCGCTTCGGGGGTACATAATGTGCAGGTGTCCAGGGGTTAGGGGGGGTGGGGGGTGGGGCGGGGCGGTGGTACCCCCAGCTCCTGCCTCCGTCGCCAGTGGCGGGCTGCTCTGGTGGGGGGTATGGCCTCCCGTCCACGGAGGGGCCATCCTGCGCACCCCCTGGGCGCGACACTCTTCCCCTGAGGGCTGGGGGGCCGGGGGGCGACCCGCCGTCTCATCGCTGTCGTGTCGCTCGTGTTCGGTCTGACCACCTCGGGTTTCGGCCCTCGTCGAGCTGCGTCGGCCCCTAGGGGGCCCGGGGCCCCGCTGGGTTCCAGACGTGCCCGGTTCTCAGTCTCCCTCGGCCAGGTTGGGGCCTTGGGCTGCCCATTCTGGGCCTCGCGGCTCCCCTGGGTTGCTCCCCTGCCGCCGGTCTCCTTGGGGGCCTGCCGTGCGGGCCCTTGTTGGCCCTGTGGCCGTCGGCCGATCGGGGCTGTCGTTCCGGGGCGGGCCTGTTTG